TAGTTCCTATTTAAGTTAAGTAATCTCTTCTTAAAGTTCATATTTATACTTCTAGGCTTAAAGTTTATAAGCCCTTTACTTAAGTTAAAGAAGCTCCTAATCTACTTATTCTGCATTTAAATCTTATATATCTCTAACTTAATATTAATATAAGTAGAGAGTAAGTAATAATAATAAAAAGGGTATATTATACTTAAATAGAGCATATACTAACTATATACTCTGCTTAAGTAATTCCTAAACTAAGATTATATTCTATATACTTAACCTAAATGCTAAACTTAACGTTAATAAGTCTAGAGGGTTAAATAGGTTATAAGGGATATAGGTGTTTTTCGCAGCGCTATATATATTATTACTAACATTAACGCATTTACTAAAAGCTCTTTACAATACATACTAACCTTAAGTTATCTCTCTATATATATAAGCCTTAACCTAAGTATAGCTACTATTAAGAGATAGCCTAAAACATAATATACTTAGTCTTAAGCCTACCTTAGTATATATAGTACATTAATAAAGGATATACTTACCTTAATACAGCTTAAAATAAAAGCTAACTTTAATTAGTAGCAAAGTTATCTTAAGCATAGCTTAACTCTATAAGGTTAATATACTTCTATATAAAGGTTTACTACTAAGCTAATATTTTACTAAGGGATTAAATAAGAGCAGCTATAATCTATCCCTTCCTCTTCTTAATAAACTAGAACCTAACATTAAGCTAAGTCTTATATATATCCTATATATACTAAAAATATTCTTATTTATCTTTTGCTTCCTAAAGCCTAAATAGCTCTAAAGTAGTAAGGTAGTCTAAATACCTCTTTCGCTAGTTTCAAAAAACATACACTTTATAGAATATAAGTAAATACTATAAATACTCTTTAGCAGTTTATAATAAGTCTTACTTATATAAGTAATTACTAAAGCTTAATACTAGCATAACGTTAGCATATACAGCATATCTATAAGGTATATACCTACTATAAGCCTACTTTATATCTATATTAGTTATAACAGCATACACTACATCATAAGTTACAAGGTATATATATGCCTATCAAACTAGAAGGCTAGAGACTGCCTTAATTTAAGCAAAAATACGCTTAAAGAGAATAATATAGCCCTCTTATAAGTCTATATTTATCTAGATATAAGTATATAACTTAAGTTTTATAGAGCATAAAGTTAGTAGGTATATTATATATAGTACATATATAATATATATACTATAACCTTTTTTACTACCTATAAACCTTAAATAGGTTTATATCTCCTCATACTATCTTAAATAATATATTAACCTTAAGATATTATACTTTCTGAAATATATATATATATACTTATACTATATAGATAATATAGAAATCCCTACTTAGAAGCTATTAAACTTTACAAATTTATTGCTCTTATGCAGGCTTTACTTTATTAAAAGCAAACTTATGTAGAACCCCTATATATAGTTAGCTTATATGTAGTATATATAAGGGATAAACTAACCTATATATAAGTTTCCAGCTAGAAACTATAGAAGATAAGCCCTCTATAAGAAGATAGCTACTTTATCCTTATTATTAAATATTGCACTTATTACTTAAAGTAAGTTAACCTTAAATTAGTTATAAATCTAATATATACCTAAATAGAGAAGAAGCTTACCTATAAATAGAGTTAGCTTATACTAAGTATATATTAAGGATATAAGAAGTATATATATAGAAAGAGTAGTAATATTAAGCTTATTTAAAAGGCTAAGAACTACTTTATTTATAAGGTATAAAGGTAGCTATAAAGGAGGGGGTAGAATATATATATATAAGCTATATATAAAGAGAAAGATAAATAGAAACTTAGTAAGGTTAAGAGGTATATAGAAGTTAAGCTTAACTCTATATAGTAATATATTTATCTTATTATTACCTTAAAAGTAAGAGAAGCCTAGTATATAGTAAGTATATATAAATAATACCTTATATCTATTACTTATTATAGCTTTAATAGCTTACCTCTATATTTCTAATATATATATAATCTATCCTAACCTTATACTAGCCACCTATCTTAATTATACTATAAAAGTACTTAATATTAACTCTACTTTACCTAATAGGTATACTATAAGCAAAATACTACAGCTCTAAAAAGCTTAGCTTTAAGTAACTAATATAAAAGACCTATAATATATATATACTTAGCTTATACTAAAAAGGTATAAAGATAATACTTACGCTATATTATTTAAATATCTGAAATATCTAGTATTAATAAGTCCTTTTAGGTTTCTAAAATAAAAACTATAGCTTCTGAACATAGAGGCTATTAGGATGCCTCTGCTATTTATACTAAAAAGCTGCATAGAAGCTAGCTATATTATAAGCATATATATAGCATATATAGAGGCTAAGTACTAACTCTTATATATATTTAATCAACTTATCTATAATTAATTTAGGGGCCTTATAAGCACCCTTTATAGTATATAGTTCCTATAACGTTTTAATAAAGTCCTCTTTATCCTATACTATACTTAGAGTTATAACTAGAAGGTATATAAACTTATAATACTTAATACTACTATATTAATAAAACTAATATTAAACCTAATTTATATCTTTCTTAAGTTTAAAATAGTGTTAATATATACTTAGTATATATAGAGGCTAAACCTACCCTAAAATTAAGTATAAACTCTTTATAATCTTAGAGTTCCTATAGTTTAAATACTAAATAGTTTAAGTGATATTTAGAATAAGCTTCTATATATAAGAATATAAAAGGTTTCTATCTTAAACCTTATAAGAAATATAGTAAAAGACTCTATTAAGATAAATCTTAAGATATACTAAAGTAGTGAGATAGTTATACATAGCATATATAGTAACTTAATAGCTTCTACTCTAAGTAATAAGAACACCTTAAGCCCTAACTATATCCTATATATATATTTAGTATATATAGAGCATATAAATAGTATAGATTAAGAAGAAGCTTACCTCAGTTAAGCCTATTTTATAAAATATACCCCTTTTATCCTATATATTATCTTTAGATAAATTATTATACTAATAAGTTTAAGTATTAAGCTAGTAAGTAATATAATAAGTTAAGCTTATAATAAGATTATTCTCTTTAAGTTATCTCTATTTTTCTTCTTATTACTTAGTATTATCTAAAGTAGAAAAAATATTAAGGTTAAAAAATAGATTATTATTTATAAATATAGCTAAAAGGCTAATAAAGTTAATTAAGGTTAAAAGAGAGTTTATTATATATAGATTCTTTAAAAGAATAGAGTTAAGATATTAGTAATATTTAGCTTAAAAATAGTATACTTTAGGAATAAGTTCTATATATATATAGTATATCTCTATTATATAGAAGAGAAGAGGTAATAAGTATTTTCTTATAAGCTATTAGTTATAGTATATATATAGTATATACTAGGGATAATATAACTCTATTGTTAACATCTATTATGATTATATTCTACTATAATACAGCCTTTATTTTATTTAGATATAGGTATAGCTTAGGGACAGTTTAGATATAGTAGAGTGGACTGTGAGGGGAAAGTTATGCTTACATAGCCCAGAAGATCTATTCTTCTAGCACTGCCACAGCCCCCTGCCTGCTTTTTAGACCCCCCTGCGAGGTGTACACCCCATCAGACGCATACACACAATCATGGATTTCAGCCATCGGTTCATCTGAGCTGAGGTGAGCTGAACTAGACTTTCCGCACAGTCTTTTCGACCTTAGCTGTGCATCTTTTGGTGTTTTCTCCTTCACTCATCGAACATGCAGAGAGGAACCCTCAGTTCCCACCCTGTCATTGAAGCCAAGAAATCTTTCCGCTCGCCCCCAGTCACCCCGGATTTTCTCAGCCCAGCAAACGGAGGAAGAGAGCAACACCCTGGACAGTCGGGCTCTTGACCGAGACCAGCAAGTATGATCCGCCATCGAGTCATCGATGAGTGTAATTGAATCAACATTATTCGTCCGCAGAATATTTCCAGGTGAATTACGGCGTAGCACGAACGGTCATCTGGGGCGAGGAGCAATCTAGCCTGTTGGACCCGAAATTGCACCCGATCCAATGCAGAAAACCAGCTTCCAAACACTGCAAGGTGCTGGTCAATCTGCATCATGCTACACCCTTTCTAGGGAATCCATCTCCTTCTTCACATGTCCAGCGAAATGAATACCGAGCGAACGAGTGACAAGAAGAGGAAAACGGCCCTGCGCAGCATAGTCAATCCTTCCACTCCTTTCCCGCCCGTACCATACGCGCCGCCGCGGCAAGAAGGTCCAAAATCCTCGCCCGGCCCCCGACCTGAGATGATCCCCGTCCCCATCGGACCAGACTGTCCAATCTGGCAGTGGATCCGGCTAGCCCCCTTGTTCTCTGCAACCCTCGCCTCCCCTCCATACGATCAGGTGTGAGCAGTAGCTCGGGGATGCGCGGGGAACTAACAGCATCGAGCCGTTGTCACTCGATTCTTTTTCATCATATCGTTGCAATGCATGCAAGTTCCGTCCAGCCTAACAACAACGTTGCTGATGGGCAAGGATGAAGGCTCCCAGCTCGTTCAACCCCCGGGTTTGCCTCACTCCCTCCTCGTGGTCACAGGTCCTTTTGCTCTAGCTCAAGCCTGCTCGGTGACTTCTCTCTACCTGCTTCGTTGAGTCCGTCCTTTTCCCAGCTCAATGCGGCCAGCCAACCAGGTTCTCGCAAACCTTCTCCGCGATTGACCATCTTTTCCACACCTGAGCTCAAAGTTCCCGCCTGCGCATCCACGCATGCACACCGGAGTGCAACCACCCTTCACTTCCACCTACATAAAGCCCTACGTCCCGCAGCTTCTTCCAATATTGAATCTCTATCCCTCTCATCCACACTCGCTTGTCCACATCAATCGACACCCGCTGTCTTCACTGTATTACTATCGCCATCAACTTACACACGTAATACCCAAACCTCAACCACCGTCAAGATGAAGTACTCTTTCGCCATCGCCGCCCTCGCCGCCCTCGTCGTGGCCCAGGATGCCTCCATCATCCCCGAGTGCGCCCGTGACTGCTTGAGCAAGGCCACCGCCTCTGCCACCAGCTGCAAGGAGGGTGACTACGCTTGCACTTGCAAGCCCGACAACAAGGCTGCCATCCAGAGTGCTGCCACCTCCTGTGTCATCGCCGCCTGCGGTGTTGACGTTGCCGTCAGTATGTTACACCGTCATGCCCTATCCCAAGTGGTCCATAGCTAACCCCATCACCAGGCGAGGTCATCCCCGCTTCCGAGAAGCTTTGCGCTGCCGCTGGCTCCGGCTCTGCCAGCTCTGCTGTCTCCTCTGCCGCTTCTGCTGCCTCCTCCGCTGCATCTGAGGCCTCTTCCGCTGCTCCCTCCGTGAGCATCCCCACCTCCGCCAGCGGCTCTGTCTCCCTTCCCTACAACACCGTCACCGGCACCGAGCCCGCTGCCACCACCACCGTCGCCGCGACCACCACCAAGGCCGGCGGCAGCAACGCTACCACCACTGGTGCTGGCAGCGCTTCCACCACCCCCGTCCAGGCTGGTGCTGGTGCCCTCGCCCCCATTGGCGGTCTGGCCATGCTCGTCCTCGGTGCCCTCGCCATCTAAGCGGCGTAGAGAACCGTACGAGTCGTATGTCGGCACAGCTATGAGAATGGTTGGGTCAGATGTACGCCAGTTGATGAGAAAAAGGTGTGACGAAATGGCTCATGGGGTGATGTTGTATGAGTAATTCACCAACAAAACTTGGGATGCCTGGCGCGGCACCCTTGTTCTACATTCGGACGTACTGGGGTCGGGCGTGTAGTTCAAAACAATACAAGCAGCCTGGTATATAATATTAATACGTCTTTTGATCTGACTTCACGACATTCTCATTCTCTGGTGAAGCCATTATTACTGTGACCCGCTCATCGGACCAAGGTCCGGCTTCCTTGAAGGTCAACACACCACCGTTGAAAAACATCAGTGAAGATCTCGTCCAATCTCCTACCTACATGACCAGTTTCACCGCCCACCACCCTGCAAGAACAGCCCATCCCATCTTTGACAATCCGTGCGTCCTTGCGCTCAGACTATGAGGCGCGTCCATCAGGATATTGGCTTGTTTGTCAACGTCAGGGCACTTGCCATCCAACAAATCCTGCATGCTAGACCGTTTCCGCACAGCCGCCTTGCCGTCAGGCATGCACTCTCCCGCCTCGTACCCGCGACGGAACTGCAGCGCATTGGCAAACATCCGCGCCTTCTGGTCCGTCGTGAACCCGTCCTGCGGAGTTTTGCCGCGACATGAGGAGTACTGTTTGACGCGTCAGCCAGTTGAAACTCATCTTCAATCGCACGTGGGTGATACCGAAACGTCTGGAACGGGGATCGCTTACGCTCATGTAGTTGTTTATCTCAACCGCGCTCCCGCCTGAACAGGGGACCTGAGAACATTCGTAAACCACGTCTTTCATTCCCCATGTTTGCGTCGCGTTCGTCAACCCGTCCTGGCTGGCGCACTGCGTCCCGATATCGCCAAATGTGTGTCCCAACCCCAACCAGTGTCCGACATCGTGAACGAGCGTAGTAGAATCTCCGCCCTGGACATGCGCGGCCTCAATCACGATGCCGTCATTCGCGTCCAAGTTCTCGTTGGGAAAGGTGGCGTACTATCCGTGACAGGCGTGACGGGTTAGCGCGAACTCCTCCTCTAGCTAGGGCCGGTCGCGAGAAAAGGGGCAACGCTTACGCTATTGAGATCGTCGTTTTGGCTCCCGCGAAGCCCGTTCACAAGCCACACTGTTAGAGTGAGCTTTCCCGGGGCACGGGTACGCTGCTGCCACTCTTGCAGTTTGGTTTCTCTGCGTGTGACGACGGACCAGTCTTCGCCGGTCTTGGGCTCCCACCAGTTCAGGGACATGTAGCGAAAGTTGATCTTGATTGCGCCTAGTGCTTCTTTGAGGACGTCGACCTTGCACGTGCGCTGTCAGCTCTCACGGAAGTCTCGGAGATTCGAGGACGCTCTCATACCTGGGCTTTCACTCGAGACTCCAGCTCATTGGGTCTGTCGGCGGTTGATGTGGCTCTCATGTAGTGGAAGTAGACTCCAACCTCCAAAGATTCGACAGCCTTGCAATTGTCAAAGCCACGGAGATCTCTTGACAGGAGAGGGACATAGCTTAGAATCTCGTCGACGATGCTGTTTCTCTTCACTAGATTCCTTGCATACTGGGTCTGGCACTGAGAGATGCTAGCGGGTATTGCAATCCTTCCCATGTCTACCGGTGCAGGGTCTTTATTGACGAAATACTCAAAGTAGGCTGTCTCCAGGATAGCTAAAGCCTTCGCATTCTTTTGAGATATGGCCTTTTCGGGGACGTTGGCGGTCAACTCAGCATTGAACTGCTCAAGCGTAGAAGCATCTGGTGGCGTAGGTGTTTTCGATTCAGGCATCTTCTCGACGACGGACTGGTTGACGTTTGAGAATCCATCAGAGGGCTGAGCGGAGAAGGACACTGTTGTCGCGAGGTTCGGTGATGACGGCGAGGCGGTGGCTACACCTGCGCCGGCGCCGACACCGGATCTGTTTCATGTCAATCTCTAGGGCCTAGCAATTGTGAAGTAAAAAGCCATACCCGCCTCCCGATCTAGTATCTGTGCCATTGCCATTGGAAGGTGAGCCGGGTTGTGCTGGCCCAGTTTTGCTGGTGGTTGGAGCAGCGGATGCAGCTCCGGTGCTTGTCGCCCCTCCTTGGACAGAGATGGACGGGGCCCGGGTGGCCTGCGGGTTGTTAGAGTTGTCCGGGTTTACGTTGACGACACTAGGTGACGGCGAATCGACTGTCCGGTCGTCTCCCTTCGAAGAGGCGGCAACTTGCACAGCTCCGGATGTCGCTTTGGGCGAGTTTCCTGGCGTCTTCGGCACAGGTTGACTTACGGCAGCGGTTGTTTCTTGGGGGTCGGGTCGGGCGGAGCTGCCTAGGGGCGGTACATCTACATCTGATGCGATTCTATCAGTTCAAAAACATAGGGGAAGTCGGGTCTGATGGCAATTACTGGGCGAACTAGCTGACGCGGGCGGTCTCCCGACTGATGATGCTGGAGCATTGGCCGCTGAGGTTTCCGGCTGACGTGCCTGAGAGGAGGCAGCATCTTGTGCTGGGGAGAGCGTGTTGCTTTGGGCCCAAGCTGAGCACGTCAAGGACACAATTATAAGAAGTGCTTGCGAAGGCTTCATGGCGGAAAAAGGCTAACTCGGAATTTGTTGGCCAGGAAAGTGCAGACAGCAAGGTTCAAAAAGCTCATGTTGGGTAGGACACAGCATAGCTATAAGAGAACAAGATCTTCTTAGTTGCAGCTCACCAGCTGGCCATAAGAAACCGTTAGAAGATGCCTAAAGAGAACAACAGCTGACCCAAATCAGCCACGATAAGCGCGGGGGAAGAGCTGCAGTACATGCAAGCGGAAGACCTGAGTGAAAGAAATTCATGAAGCCAGTCCAGAACCTCGACTTGTGGCTTGAAGAATGCCTGCGGCGAATTTTAAACTCCAGCCACCAGCATTGGCAATGGTTCAGCCGCAGCGCAGTGGGCTAACTCCGAACATGAGTGTTGGATAGCTTCTTGGCAGCTGAACAAGTTCACCTGAGGGCTGGTAATTTTTCACTGTATGATAGATCATCAGGCGGCAAACTGCGAAAAGAAAGTGAGAAGGGAAGAAGGATGCTATTCATCATGCGATAGAGTACGGTCTAAATCGACATGGCGTCTGGCAGGGGGCGTGATAGGCTGTCATTGCAATTTATTGATTACCACAAAAACCACGTACTCCCCCTCGCACTTGCCAATATATATGCTTGAACAGACCACCTGAAATGCGTTATCCCTCTACCAAGGTGTGTTTGCGATGTCCGCATTGTTGGTTACAAGCGCCACCCATCCAGGATTTCTGTCTCATTATAAATAGTCAAGTCGAAGTAATGCACTTGCCTTTCTCCGCCCCGGCCGAAGTTCTCAGAGGTTATGTTGAGAAGGGTAGCCGAAGTTGTTGACGATGTCAGGTTCGTTAACCCAGGGAAAGCATCGTCGATCAATTTCGAAATTTCCTGTGGGGTGTAAAAGTCGGCGCCCTTAGCTTCGATGTTCTTCTGGAAGAACGAGACGTATTCACGCGTGTGATTGACGTCCAAGCAAGCACTGAAGGTATCGGCTGACAATGCATGGCCGGGTATGACGAGATTAGGTCCGAGGCCCGCGATGAAGTCGAGAGTGGTGAGCCAAGACTCCGTCAGGGCAGGTGTGAGAAGGTCGGCAAGCCAGGCATGCATTTGGTGGCCGTAGACGACGTCACCCGCGATCAGCGTCTTGCTCGACGGAATCCAGAAAGCAGACAAGTCGATCGTGTCGCCACCAACGTTCTTGAGTATCTCGATCGGGCACTTCTCATTGCCAGGGAGCGTGAAAAAAGAGAAGTTGTAAGCGGTCGGGATTGCGGGAATGGGGGCGATGACGCCGGGACCGTAGGCGGCAGACCAAAACTCAGTCTAAACAGTGTAGCTGTTAGCCATAGCCCTGTGACATGTCGCGTGAATGCTTGCCTTGTTGAGAGCCTCGTTCTGGATTCCATGCACTGTCTCAGGCGTAGCGTAGTGCTTGGCGTCGGGGAAGTGTTGCAGAAAAGCCTTTCCGCTCAAATAGTGATCAGGGTGATTGTGCGTTGTGAAGGCGGCCAGTAGGGGCTTGTCAGTGGTGTTCTTGACCCAAGCAGCCAGGTTTTCGGCGGCAGAAACGGCGAGGGGCAAGTCAACTATCGCAGCAGCTTGAGAGCCGATAATCAGAGTTGACACAACATCCAGCGAAAATCCCGGGCTGATGTGACTTTCGACCCTGAGACTGCAGTCGCATGATGCCATAACTGGCTGGAACATTGCCAACAGGGCGGTGGAAATAACGACGCTGATGAGCATGATGGTAGGCCCAAGTTCTGTATGGTGTTTGGTGGTGAAAGACTTGAATGACCGTTGCTTCTTTGGAATGGGAGCACCAGCAAGCAGACCCAAAAGTCTTATTTATCTCAAGAACTATATTTGCGAAGCGTCCGCTCATCAATTTGCTTCCGGAGGCTGCGTTGAATATTGCGAGTGATTGAGTCCACTCGGATATAGTCCGAAAGCACGGGACCATTTTGTTTCCGCAACCACCCTTTCCCTCCCGATATGTTCATTTAGGTATGAGCTTGAAAGCTACGGTCATCAGTTGATAAGCCGGCATCAAAACCTGAGATCAACCTAATTCATACATCCAGTCATCAAGAATCCAGATGATTGCCCTGAGTTGAGGGCCAGTCATAGTTACCCTATGTGTCTCATGCCCCAACATTGCAATTGCTGAGCCTCCCGGCCCACATGCGATGATTTCCGCTCCATCATTAGAGACTTAATGGAGCTAAATGCGCGGGCCGGCAAAGGAAATTCTTATCTAAACATTGAAATGCCTCATGTTAGCTGCATCCATGATGAGTGATATGGACACGATGAATCTCATTGTGCATATTACCAATTAAGGCCGTCAAGTGAAGTTTCCGGAATCAGAATGAGTCGTCAAATTACCAAGTGTGCTGGAGTCATACTTTATAGCTTGGCACCTCCACTGTTAAGATGTAATCAGGTAGATAAGTGGCGCCTTCCACTCTCGAGAAGGCAGGGCAGCCGTGAAGGCTGGACATAGTTGCCACAGACCCAGCGACAGCGTGAGATTCCATGGAGAAGATGGAGCGCGCTTGGCCAACCCTTCAGATCCCTTTTCCTCTGTTTCAGAACGGACTTTGCTTTTGAAAGCAACCGTAGATAAATGTCCAACTGTCCGCTGAAGACTCTGGCCTGAATAGCTAAGTAACTGCTACTCGCTCGATGAGACTTGACATCTTGTGTTCTGCGAAAGAAATTGCGATCTTATCCTCAATGTCACTACACTGTCCTGCGGATTGCCCTAACTCTCATTCCATCAACTGGCTGTGCGGTAATCTGTCGTGACTTTCGATGGTCAGCGAGCGTGGGTAGTTGAGCGCATTCCAATCTTACATTGTAGACATCCGACTCAGTGATGTGCCTTCCTTTCGCGTCCAGCAATGGATCGCCATTTACTCCAAGAATAGGACTGCCCAGTCCTTGCTTAACGAAGTCGTATCGGCCGACAAGAACAACAAGAATCACCTTGGCCTCAATATTGGCTAATTCCTGCCCGATGCAATTCCGTGGTCCCCTCTCAAATGGCCTCCAAGATGAGGGGGGGATGTGACCGTTTTCAAATTTGGCACTGGCTTGGGGATCGGTAGCTGACGCATCAAGCCATCTTTCCGGGACGAAATCATCCTTTGTTTCCCCGTAGACCTGCGGGTCTCGATGGATCAAGTAGTTGCAGTTGTATAACATCAAGTCGTCGGCGCAAACACGGCTACCATCAGGTAAAACCAAGTGGAATCCGGTTGCTGGAGGGGAGTATCTCGCTGTCGCAGCTGGAGGATGCAACCGCAAAACCTCCTTTATGACCGCAGACGTGTACTTCAGCTGACCAACGACCTCTTCTCCGCCTTTATAAATCATTTCAAGGACACGATCTAGATCAGCACTCTGGCCGAAAACCCGATCTAGTTCGTTCCGCATGCGCGCAAGTATTTGCGGATTGCTTGAAAGCTCATACAAGGCCCATTGTAACAAAATGCTTGTCGTGTCGTGCCCAGCGAACAGGAACGTCTTTAATGCGCTAATGATGTCGTCCATAATGGGTTGAGTGAGGACATTGATGTCTTTCAGGCTGAGGGCGAGGACAATGCGACTTGTCGTGTTACTGTCTGCTTTGTAGAGATCGAATTTCCGTCGAACAACGTCCCCGAGAAAGGTATCCAAGGCCTGTCCAAGCCGTCGTCGCTCCCAGCGTACACTGAAAGAAGGCAATAATGATGGAGAACCATCGTCACGGTACGTCGCGGCAAACCGTTTGTAATTTTGGATGAAGTCATTCTGGAGTACGTCCGGATCTTGGGCGTGGAGATCTTCATCCATAGTCACAGCTCCTAAGTTTTGATCAGCTACATCTCCTAGTGAGCGTGAACGGGATCTGAGTACCGATTATATCGAACGTGAGGTTAGTACAGGGGGAGGACAAATCAAACACATCTGCCTTGGCCGCATCCTCGTCTAAAATCTGCACGAAGATCTTTGTTTTGTCGAGGACGACCGACAACAAAGTCATCAAATGCTTGGGCGCAAAGCCAGGATTGAAGAGTTTGCGCAATGTCTTCCAGTGATCACCCTACTCCGCCAATGTCGTAAGTACAATCCGCTGTTTCTGATACTATTGCCACTCACAGATTCCCAAATCAACGAATGGTCGCCAACGAGCGGCAGATATTCCTTGAACGAAGGCGACTTCGGTAGGCTGTAAGGCCATAGCTGGGATTGCTTCGAAACCTGCTCGGCTACGTCATGGTTTCTGATCAGGAGCATGGGTTCGTTCAGTGGCCAAAAGTCAATGAATAAAACCGGAGGGTTGCCGGCTTGCTCCATGAGGTCGCCAAAGACCGGATCTGAAATTCATTGTTAGTAATCAATTATTGGTCCATCGGTGAAATACATACCAATGTCTCCATCAACGCGGTCTCGATCTTTATGGACCTTGCGAAGGGTTTGGAGATGCCCCCAGACGAGGGATGATTTCAGCTGAGGAAAGTTTGCATATTTGCGGAATCGACGATAATGTAACTTGTAATAGAGGTAAAGAAAGATGATAGGTAGGGCTAAAAATAGCAACATTTTGCCCCAGAGCCCAGCAATACCGTATTTAATTGGCAAGGCAATAAAATGTGATAGGCTAAGAAGGGTATTACAATGCAACTTTCTCAGAAGAAGAACTTAGATTTATGTGAACTTGATTTGGAAGCAAGTCCCGCAGAATTGGTCAAGGGTGCGCTGAGAATGATGCAGGTTTCGTATACTCACTGGTCGTCGGATTCGTATAACCACAGGATGTCGGGTTCGTATAGCCGCTGTATGTCGGGTTCGTATTGCCACTGGATGCATTGTACAGATGGCAGCAGAGCAGTTCTCTTTGCGCGTACCACTTGCAATCCACATGTGCAGCCTGTTGGCTACGCTGAATGGTGTCAATTACGGTTGCATCAAGCGGATTACGGGGCGGAAAACACGGATTGGCGATAGGTCAGGAAGTAAAACACAGCTGATGTAGGATGGGGGTGGGGTTTGATCTACACTCAAGACGTCCGGGGCTGCAATTGATTTATCGTCGGGGTCCGACTAGAGCCCGCCCAGCGGCCTAGAGAAATCTCTATTGCCCCTCATTATTCGCTGTTAAGCTTCCTTAACCAATAACGTAGCGACTAAAGGAATTGTAGGGAGCCATTATGACTTTACAACGACATACTGAAACCACTGTCAGCTTTCAACCTAGCTAATAGTACATGATGAGGTACTGACACTGCGCTCATCATCGCTTTCGTACTACAAACTCTTGATCTGTCGATGTGGTAGTTGAGACAAGGAACCGCTCTCCTCCCCCCTGCAAAACCTCGGCACATACCTATTCGCAGCAAGTTCAATATTTGATCTGCGATTACTCCCCCCAGTGGAAACTTTCATCTGGTGTGCGTTCTCACTTAGGGCCGAAGCATGATGAATGGCAGACTTTGACGGTAGGTGCGCGTCTTATCAATTATTGTGCATATTGCAAAGTTCAGTAGCTCGAGAGTTCACATCAATTGAAAGACAACCTATGGAGGGCCGCTCATCGAAAGCCCAACCAGGGCTTCTTAGAAGCTGAGTAATGCTACGTATCTTATGCAAATGAGGTCCATCACAGTTGTAATCACAACTGAACTTGATACTCCGTCTTTGAACGGTAACTTCTAACTATGTCCCAAGTAGTCCCGCTTTCCCAATGCCATTTATTGCTGCCTTCTCTCCCGAGATCAAATTTACATACGATTATCTCAAAAATTGTACAACTGAGTTAATTCGTTCATAATCTACGGAACCGATCTGTGATCAATTGAAACTGCTGCAACTCATATCATGAGGTCGGTCCTGAAGGTCGGGTTATACCTTCAGATTTCGATGAGCGGCCTAGCCAACTTCAGGAAATCCTCCACATTACTCAGGAATATTTCAGGCTGTTCCAATGCAGCGAAATGCCCGCCCTTCGAAGACGTTCAGTAAGTTTAAAGAAACACGATAGAAGGGACAATGAAGGCTTTACCTTCTGATTTCGCTCGTAGGATAATCATTTTTGGCCCATGCTTCGGGCATGAGAATGTTTTCCGCTGGAAATACCGAGTATCCGAAGGGTTTCGCTTTGGAAGTTGGAACATTGAACAACTTATCTTCCACGGCGGCTTCCGCCATGGGTCGATATGGGTAAAGGTTGCGTGAGCAAGAGTTCGTATGCCAATAGAAGGTGACCAATGTGAGGATGTTATCGAGCGATAGGGGATATCTGTGGTCTGGCCATTCGATGAGCTTTTCCCCGATCCTGGAAGACATTTAGTTTCATACGTTTCGCCTCAAAGGATCTCAACTTCTTAGAAGCTATCTGTTGACGTGCTGATAATGTTTTCGTGGAAAGCCTTACCAGGACAACGCAGCAAGCGGACCCGAAGCGAGAACAAGCCCCATCGTCGACGGCCTCAATCCGTGTTCGAGAATGTAAGACGATCCATTAGCACTGAAATCGTACATGTGCTGAACATGTTCAGTTTCCGACGCGGTGATGTTTGCATTGCTGAGAATTTCATCCTCAGATGAGGGTGCCAGCATGTTTACTTTGGTCTAGTCAGCCACAAAGAGCAGATCAAGCATACTTCCAAGTTAGCTCACTGTGAAATGCTTTGCATTCAGGGTATGTTGCCGACAGTATCCTAGCGATAAAGCTCCCGATATCACCTCCCTGGACGACATAACCCGACACGAAACCAAGGCTTCGCATCAGCTCGTTCATAAGTCTTGCTGCGTCGCTTAGAGTAAGCTCCACATCCGACGGACCTCCAGAGAGCCCATAGTGTGGCAAGGAAGGTATGATGACATGGTATGGGAGTGTCTCCGCATTGTACTTTGAAGTCAGTAGGTCCAAGACTGGGAGAAATTCTATGACCGACCCAGGCCACCCATGTAAGAATAGGAGAGGTAAAGCGTCTTTTCTCTAGGAAAAGAGAGCAATGAAGTGAATATTTGTGACACCAAGATTGTTGTCGTCGATTGGGATGTTGAAATTAGGGAACCTATTGATATGGTTTTCCTTGTCCCTCCAATCAAAATTGATCCATGCCTCCTTGGCCTCTGCAAGCCATGATCTTGTGGTGCCGAATTGGATGTTCTGGTGCTGGTTATACCAGTCATCTACGGCAACGCTGGAGGCTGACAGTGAAGTTCGAAATCTCTCTAGTTTGTCTGCGGTAACATGAAAGTTGAATTCTGTTGAGTTTGGGGATAAGTTGAGAGGAATGGAGCTGAACAGGGTGGCCGAGGCCGTTGCTGCCAATAATGCAGCCAAAGCCGGCAACAGAAACATCGTGATGCCGACCGTGTAACAATTTAAAGATGATCGGTTGTTTCGATTTGAAGTACATCTCAGAGAATTCTAAGGCTTTTGAATGAAACGCTGGCATCATTATGAAGCACTGAGAGAATTCCGACGCGCAGAGACGCAAATCAGATATGTCTGGTTGGAGTGGTTAGCTGCCATCGAGATGGTTCTCGCAAGGATGGTAAAGTTCATCCGGTCTAATCTTTGACCCGTTTCTCCTGGCGTGATTCATCAATCGGGTAATTTTCCGACGGAGCTGGTCAGGAATTGAATCGTATCCAATCGTACGCCCGGGCCGGCGTCCGGGACAGAGGACTTTTGGTATCTATCTAATTTGTCGTGATTCCATCATGAAAGATCATAATATCTTCGAGATAAGTAAGCAATGAATTGCTATTTCGAAAATATCACGTAGTACGGGACGGGACATTGAGTGATCAGTAATCCCAACAATGCGGTTGGAATATTGCGCCGACTCTGAAGCTATGGAATTCTTGTGGAGCAACGGAACCCACGCACATCGTTCGGAGTCTATCTGTTAGACCTAGATAGCGCTTTATTCCCCCCTGTGTCAGTATCCACACGTATTTGTAATACTCCTTTTGCCCCCAGTCTCTTCTCAGGGTGGGCGGGTCACGGGTTTGCCCTGGTAGTAAAGCTCCTTTCGATAAGACGACCGTTGGAATCCATGCTATCTGCATACGCCTTGTCCACAATTTGATGAAACTTCTGCTAACGTAGTTCAGTCTCATGTGTTTTGAGGTGTGATATTATTCGCATTCCCTGTAGTTATCTGGGCTGCTAGTTTGGTGACTTTGTCAACGCCTGGCATCATATGCACAGACGCACAGCGGTGAAAGGCCCTCACAGTCTGTGAGGAAATTTTCTCGAAAAACGACTTTGCATTTGGGGCAAAGTTAAGGCTGAGACTTTGACTCTGGGACAAGTAGGAGTAATGCCATTAAGAATATGAGATTGAAGTGGATAGACGCCGCCTGACGCCAGTATTGTCCAATTAAGGGCCTCGCCAATTACTTCTCAAAATCCATTCTTCAAACGTACTGGCCTTGACCCCAAGATCTTCCCATGAGCAGTCATCCACGGAATTCATTGTCCCGTAGCATATCTTATCTTTAGGCGCATGGGCAACCCATTGCACCATTTGCCGGATGTCCTCTTTAAAGCCCTCTCCGGCCACGGAGACAACAGTAGACGTCCAGTCCTCCAGACCAACACTTTCAAAGCGAGCGGGAATACCTGTCATACTAGAGAAGACACTAGCCAACTCTCCGAAAGAGATCTTAGGACTTCCAATGGGATACGTCTTTGATGCAGTTTTAGACGTTCCCGCTATCAGTACAGCTAGGTAAAACAAGGTTAGCGATTCCAATTCGGTCCCAGCGGTGTCACATACATACCGCGAACAAATATTCCGACATCGTGCCCTACGTCGACCCATTCACCAACTGTCGACTCCGAAACTGCAGCGCAAAATCGCACTGTACCGTCGTCTGTTGCATACATCAGACATCGGCCTCTGCTTGTTGATAAAAGTTTCTTACCATCTCGTCGGCAGTAGTTAGGCCATTGAAGGTTTTCGTAGAATAGCCCTATTCAGTCCCATCAGCCCTTGGCAACATGACTTATCGTTGGAGCTCATGATGCGCCAGCCTTACCCGGTATCAGGGTTGTGACGGCGGGCAATCGCTCTCTCGCCCACTCGTCAATCCGTGATTTGAAGTCAAAATGGAACACCTTGCTGTAGCGCCCGTTGCTAGCGTTTTCGATGTTTGGCAAACTACTGAAGATAAAATGCTTGACACCGGTCTTTTCAGCGGCATCGACAATATTCCGCCCGGCCTCGAGCTCGTGCCGTAGGTCTTCCTCTTTGTGGTACATTGTTCCCGCAACGAAACTCTGCGTCATGGCGAAAACGCCATAGGAGCCTTCGAATGCCTCTGCCAAACTCTTCGAGTCATAGACGTCGGCGCGGGTAAATGTAAGCCTCCCGTGATGGCCGACTAAAGCTAAAAGGTTTCGAGCAGCCGCGCCATCTGGATCTCGGGTGATCGCACGGACATCGAAGTGGTGAGGTGCATCTAGAAGGGCCTTGACAACACCTCGACCTTGGTTTCCTGTGGCTCCAAGTACTGCGATAAGCTTAGGCTGTTTTTGATCAAGGGCGGCCATTGCGTCGTGTTTTGATGGGTTTCTAGTT